ATAGGTACATATGATACTACTATATAAGGATGATAATATTACTAACTAATAGGTACATATGATACTACTATATAAGGATGATAATATTACCAACTAATAGGTAAATATGATACTACTATATAAGGATGGTAACCACCAATGAAGTGTTTCCCCAAACTCAACTGTTCATCATTTATCAGGACCTTCACCCCCGAATAAGTACTACCTTAGTAAAAGAGCCAGCCCTCGAGCCGCTATCCCTCCTACTTCCCGCACTATACCGTCTAGGCTCCATACGAGGCAGGGAAGATCGACCCCCTGCTGGAGGCTCTACTGCTGCTGATGACGACGACATGATAAAATTACATACTTCGACAAGGTTGGGAATCTCAAGTTTTTTTTCAAATTGGAAACAGAATTTTACACAAAGGTGAATTGCACGAGTGGAACGTTCATCAGCCGTAATAAGCAGTAAAAGCAATGAACACATCTCGCAGAGGAACGCGGCTGAGCATTTCAAGTCAACAGAGGCAATCAACGTAATGGTGTTCGCACGTGATATGGAAAAGACTATTCTACATTTCACATTCCAAAAAGCATCCCATAAGTGAACCCAGCTCATAGGAAGCCTATCTATTAAAAAATATCAAATCAATGAGATAGAGTAACTAAGTTGATCCACTGCATGCATCGTCCTTGAAACCCTCCTTTACAACGAGTAATACATAATCACGAGTATTTTCCCAACGGTCTTGGTAGACGTCACCCTTCCTCTACGGTCCTCTAGTGTGTACAGGGAGTATACAACTGCATGGATCTATCTCTACTTAGATGAGCCTTGATGAGCAGATGATAGGGAAAAGGTACTCAAACAAAGCACGATTCGTGTCGCAAAAGTTCGAATCTTGAGTCTGCACGCAAGAACATCACAGAGTGTACACGCGTGCAGATACAACACTGTAATGAAGTGAAGTTAAGACTATTAATAAACCAGTCTTACACTGAGGGAACGATGGGTGAGTTGACCTGGCTTCTGAACACCATTGGAACTGTTTCACAACAATATTTAATCGAGGCGACTCCCCTCCAAATTGTTGACTATGATGTTAGGGTCGCCAAGACCTCACGGTAAGGCCAAGACGGTGCTGTTGAGCACATACGCTTTTATTTTTTCTACCCTTTTTTTGTGGAAACAGAATTATACACGTTTGACATGGTAGATTATACGAGTCACAAGTGAAACGTTCATCAACAGCCTAACCAATCAAACAAATAAATTTTTTCTTTTAAATTTTTTAATTTTTTCTACCGTGTCTCCTCAGAGTTGTCTCAAGTTTGTGCTCACACTCCTGATAATTAATATCTTCAGTAGGGCACGCCAAGCATGAAACGGCCTTAGTACTGGAGAACGAAAGCAAGATAATATATACTCTTTTCATCCAACTACAACTGCATTGTGATCTGCTCTCCAACGTTCAAGATAAGTTTGGGAGCAACTTAAGGTACTTGTTAGTGATTTCCCCATTGAGATAACACCATACTTGATATAGTAGCAGAGGAATGCCTTAGAAGGCAGCAGCCTGATTACACTTGATCGATGTAGACTATCTACATCATGAGCTCAGCTGAGGGCTTCCTTCACCCGAGAGAGACAAATTGTGTGCTACGGGGAATTGGGACAGCGATAATGATGATGCACTAGCATCTTCCATTCCTCATTTTTTATCGAATTTCAGGATATTTCGGAGTTGATCGATGCGAAAAAGAAGCTTGGTGCGGTTATCACAGAATTCATCACTTTTTTCACCAAGTGAGAATTGATTTTCCCACTGAGATAACACTATACTGGATATAATAGCAGAGGAATGCCTTAGAAGGCAGCAGCCTGATTACACTCAATCGATGTAGACTATCTACATCATAAGCTCAGCTCAGGGCTTCCTTCACCCGAGAGAGACACATTGTCTGCATCTTCACCCAAGTGTGCTTGAGAAATAGATTTCTCAATCATCCTGCGAAAAGCTTGACTGTAAACACCTCAAGATAGTATTGTGTTAACCATTTGGGAGCTCAAGACAATGGTTAATGGAATCTAGTGATTCTATCTACAATTACACTCATAAACTCATCAACTAGCTTCGAGCTAAGCTAAGATTCCGTACTTGCACAACTGCATATTCACAGTAACACGTTATATTCAAGACGCCTAGAAATAGCTTCCTAGGCGTCTTAAATAGGTTCCTCCTGAGTTCCAATAGCGCTCCCAGCATTGGATTTAACATTTCGCATCACTCGAAATGTGGCAATTGATGAAATGTGAACTGGTTTCGGCCAGTATCATTCTGAAGAACGATACCGATACCACTCCTCGTTGAATCAGTTTAGTAAACTCAATATCAAGCTGACGCAGTTACTGTGTGTTCAAGTACTTTCCTGCTTTTTATAAGCGTTAGATCAATTATACCGATCCACTGAAGTTTCACAATCCGTTTTACGTGAAGCGGCGTAAAATTCGGTGAAAAACGCGATATTCGCGGTGATATACAGTGGTCGTGAAATATGTTTTTCATATCACTAGGGTGAAACTCCGCTCTACGGACTTGACTTCGGTATACAATGCTCCTGAGCTCAGAAACTGATTCTCGAGGCGTGTCCCGGAGGAAGGCTCCCTCAACGTTCCCCTCTTGAGAAACGCCTTTTACGTTATAGGGCTAATATTCATTTATATTCCCGAATATATGGTTGAGTGCGATTAGTGTTATGCAAAGACTGATTACACTAGTAGTGCTAGTGTAGGTTTTTCCGGAAACACCTGCACACTATCTTTGATCAACCTAGATACTTCGTCTTGCTATGTGTTGCTCTATTTATCTACTCAAAGAAAATATACTGTTGTGTATATCATATCTCCCAAGACTAGTGTAAAACTATACACTAGCAATAGCAATAACACAATAGCGCTGACCAGACAACATACATTAGTAAATGGACTCTACCCTATGGCTACACGCCTGGGAGTCCCCAGCGGCCGACTTCGTATCGTACACTTCCCAAATGTGTAGTGTCGTCAGTCTCGGCCAACTTCAGCAAAACTACCAACATCCCTTAGGTATGGCAGATATCGATGGCACAAAGGAGGGTCGTCTTGTTATGGTTGATAGGAGAAAACGAATCCGAGTCTATCAAGGTGAGCTACAGGATTCGTCGATGGTGTGGTATCAATATATATACGTGTATTTCCACATTAGTGTTGTTAACGGCTAGTAATTTCCCCATTGAGATAACACCATACTGGATATAATAGCAAAGGAATGCCTTAGAAGGCAGCAGCCTGATTACACTCAATCGATGTAGACTATCTACATCATAAGCTCAGCTGAGAGCTTCCTTCACCCGAGAGAGACACATTGTGTGCTACGGGGAATTGGGACAGTGATAATGATGATGCAATAGCATTCTCCATTCCTCATTTTTCTGTCATCGAGGAACATCCTTGTACTCCATGAAAGGAAGTGAAAATTTCCAGGCGTGGTACTCCTTGTTCGAGCATAAGAATTCTACTTGAATAACGTCACCCAAACTACACAGGCACAGTTCTGGAAAATATGCGCATAGTCGATCACATGCGTTGCCGACAATATGAAGATTCTGGGGAAACTTTGGCAAATTTCTTGTTGGTTTCTCAACACTTGTAATTGACCTTTATAACTAGTGAGGAAACTGCCGAGCTCAAACGAGGGACGCGAACCAAACAGTTATGCATATCTAGATATTCCACAAGGCTTTCTTCAATTTGAGACCAATACGACTATAGACTACGGAACGCTTCTACTCCCCAAAATACGATATTACTCAAAGTTGACTTTCGAACTCCCCAAAATTGAAGGCTAAGTTGAAAACACTACTTCGCATAACGGTTTGGTTTACACTGTATATTACTCCAACACTGCAAGCTCATCTCCTTTCCAAATCTAAAGGTCTAGGTGATCTACTTGTTTGCTCGACTTGAGCGTAGCCAAAACTAACGTCTTTACTTGAAGTCGGTATGTTTTTAAAAAGACGAGCTATTTTGTGTAATTTTTGGGTAATAAAAAGGCAATAGAAAATGATATTTTCCCAAAAGAAGCGAGTAAATAATTGAAAAATTTCGATTAATTTTTTCAAGTCTCTAACACGTACGCCTAACGAGTAAGATTTTACGCCTAGCGACATCCATGCGCTCGAAAATTGACCAGGCACGAAGATAATCTCCGAACAGCTTTTGCCGGCGACCCCAACAGCCGTACAGTCGTTCTACCACTCCTCGACCACATCCAAGGACATAGTCCCATGTAGACACGAACCCTCGACTTCAACGGCTGCTAGTACACCTCTCAGGTATCGCGGTGGCATCTGGACCAGACCTATACGTGTATTGGAAACTCAAACCTCATCTAAAAGTGACAACATGAAGATGGGGAAAATTCCATCCTTCTTTGTTCTGTCTATTCTGAAACGATGTGTGAATAGGTCCTATTGAATTTCCTATTGAAGTGAATAGTGAATTGACTATTCCTATTCAATAGGAATAGTCTGTCTCAGTGTGGGAAAATATGCACTATGTCAACGGCGTGTGTCGGTGACAATACAACAATTCTGAGAAAATTTGGGTGAATTCTTGTTGGTTTCTGAACACTTCTACCCGAACTCGTACACAAACTTTGAAAGTTAGTGAGAAACCTCTAGGCTCAGCTGAGAGAAGCAAACACATATTCTAACACTGGTCTGTTTACTGTCAGTTCTCTCTTCCAGCAATCGGAGGAAATGCTGAAGAACTGTCAATCTGGCAGGTGGGCGATTCACCACTCCGAATAGTCCTCCCACTAAAAATTATTGTTCTGCTACTGATAACTTATCAATGGTGAGGAATACCTCAAAAATTCATCGTATAATTCATATCGTATACGTGGAAACTCAGAGGTATGGAGTTTTCAAGTATATGATAGCATTTTCGAGCTTAGTTGTGGACGAAACGCGAACTTAGTTTCAACGTACTATGATAGCGTCACATTGACCGTATTATAATAGCGTCACCTTGACCGTATCATGACAGCGTCACATTGACCATATTATAATAGCGTCACATCAACCGTATCATGATAGCGTCACATTGACCGTATCATGATAGCGTCACATTGACCGTATCATGATAGCGTCACATTGACCGTATCATGATAGCGTCACCTTGACCGTATTATAATAGCGTCACATTGACCGTATCATGATAGCGTCACATTGACCGTATCATGATAGCGTCACCTTGACCGTATTATAATAGCGTCACATTGACCGTATCATGATAGCGTCACATTGACCGTATCATGATAGCGTCACCTTGACCGTATCATGATAGCGTCACCTTGACCGTATTATAATAGCGTCACATTGACCGTATTATAATAGCGTCACATTGACCGTATCATGATAGCGTCACATTGACCGTATCATGATAGCGTCACCTTGACCGTATTATAATAGCGTCATATTGACCGTATTATAATAACGTCGCGTTGACAATCAGATTTGTGTAACTCTCTCTCTGCAAAATTCTCTAACGCAATTTTCATCATACCGAGGAGTATACAGGCAGCATCTGATGAGCTGTTCAGGATTTCCGTTTGGCCGCCTCGAAGTGTCAGCGAGCGGATAGATACGAAATTGAGGAAAGTGGCTTGGCCTTCACAGATGAAGATCCGAATGCTCCTGACAGGTGAGTAATGTTTCATTCTGGAAATTTTGGGAGAAAGTGATTATGTCATTGACATAACAACATATATATAGGAAATTTTGGAGAAATTATTGTTGGTTTCTGTATACTTCTATCCGAATTTGTATGTAACCTTCTATAATTAGTGAGAAAACTCCAAAAAGAAAGCGATCATATATCCCAACACTGGTCTTACGCAATTAGCAGTTGCGTGTGTGGGAGAGATGCACATGGTCAACTACATGTCTATTCTGAGGAAAATATGGGAAGTTCTCATGGTTTTCTGTACATAGTTTGTATGTAATTTCGTATAGTTAGTGAGGAAACTTCTGGACTCAGCCGAGGAAAGCGAACATTTTTTCCGACACTGGAGTTTCACCCGTTTTACATGAAGTGGCGTAAAACTCCGTGAAAAGCGCGATATTTGCGCCTTGCAGTAGTCGTGAAATATGTTTTCCACTAGTGTTTTTCATATTACCGGTGAAACTCCACTGAGCAGTGATATTCTGTTATCATCATTGTTGCGGAAAAATATCATGCTCGGAGATTTCTATCAGCCCGCGTCTGCCCGCGGATCTTGACGTCGCATTGTATATGAGCAAACTGGTAGAACTGCGCGAATCCGGCAAGTAGGATCCGCTCTGGGTATGTCTAGGATGAATTATCGACATACTCAGAGATCTATCCTTCCGGGCGCAGGACGTGCTGGCAGCCGCGGAGAATCCGAGGCTGATGAATACTATGCTGATAGAAATATTGCAGGTAAGATGATGAGTTCCACACACTCGCCGATGGTAGAAATACGTCGTACCAATGAGGACTCCTTATGAGTACGTGTATGATCTGCTACTACTAACTACGCGTCGAGGAGTAGTAGTCGTAGATGGTACACTATCTGAAGTGTGAAGCAGTTTAATTTTTTCAAAACATGTTCGTTGTGGTGAGAGATTCTCTGTGATTTTCCTGAGACAACTATATGTAGAAATGTGCGTATCGTCAAGACGAATAGTGATGTTAATTCCACTGAATTGGGATATAACATTTGTATCAACTGTGCGTGCGTGCAATACTACCGAAGATTATGCTCTGATGGAGTGGTTTACCACAGTATCGCGTCTTACGTAATGCCGCGGATCGGCTAAAACGTAGTACACGCACGCACAGTTGGTGAAAATGCTATATCCCAAAATTTTCGCCTATAATGAGATACAGTGATAGACCGCTTCCTTACTCAGGGAATCATCCAGGAACTCATAATGTTCCCGGGGGGGACTCTCCACATGGCTAGGAACAAATTCTTCAATCAGTTTCCAATATAAATGTCATGATCACATTATGAATACTTTTTCCAATGTATTATCAAAACCTGCGGAACGTTATTTCTCAAAGCTACATGGGACCTTGTCCTTGATTCAGACTGATCCAGCCAGTGACGTAGCGGAGCTCCGAAAGACGCAAACTATAACGTGTCTCAATGTGAGCTGCTGTTACTTCATCTCGCCTATTGAGATGATCCTACCATAGGCGTTAAAGAAGAGCTCAAAATCGACTACGTTCATGTTGGTAACCGCCTGCGAGTCGGGCGCAGTGTTTTTACTCAACTCTGAACTAACTGGAATAGTCGCTGAAGTAAAATATGGAAATGCTCAACTTGATTTGAAGTGTCGTCGTATCAAGATCGATTTGCCCGAAGGGGCTGTGCCGGCGTTCATGACTGTGAGTGGTGACTTTGATGTCGAATACCGAATCATCATCGCCACTCGGACGGGGAGAATATATTCTATTAAAAACGGACAAGTAAGCGGCGATGATTCTTCAACCGTTGGCAGAAGCAGGTTGATCCCTTGAGCTCTCTCGAGCGTCACAGGATCTCCCTCATATTCCATCTTCACAACACCATCGCTCAAATTCTACCAGGGAGGATGCGACGGACAATGATTGGTTTCATATTATTACTTTTTGGAAAATATACCTAGAAACTTTTTGAAAGATCCGACTAAGTCATAATAGGAACTATGTGTTGTAGAAAAATATTCATAGCATTTGTTGAACAACTTCCTCGCGAGGATGCGTGAGAATTTGATATTTTATGGCTCATCAGCTAAGGTGTCGGGTTACTTCTCGAATTATGAACACAACTCTGAATGTTCACAAACAATGTGGAAATATGATGATGTTGTGATGCAGATTTTGGGTACAAGGATCAGTGTGGAATCAATGCCAGTGGGGTTGGTGACGATCAATAAAATGATCTACATTGGATGTAGGGCAATTTCCCTCGTAAAGAATCACAATCAGTTGAGAAGTGATATTGTTAACGCTAGCCTAGGAAGTTGTGACGATCTATGCACACAGTGAATGGAAGCAGTAACAGAGTATATCTCAGCTGAGTTCGGGAGTTTTCTCAGTTATTACGTAAGAATTCGGGTAGAAGTGTGCGAAAATCAATACTCAAATTTTCCCATTGTCATCGACACACATGTGCATGTTTTCGAGGATATTTTCGGATGATTGCGACTTATGTGGAGAAGTGTTTTTTGTTTTGAAGGTATGAACTTCAGACTGCACTGTTACCATCTGAAGGGTAAGAAGATGTACACTTTGGTTATGCCAAGCCCAATACTCACCATGAAGGAGTTCAGCTGGGAGGCGACGGGAACAAGTAACTGTGAATAGTCGTTTCTAGAATATGTGAAGTATTATAAAATCATAGGGAACCGCAGTTTACAGCATTTTCAGGTGAAATTATTATCACTTTCCATTATTATTTTCCACCGACAAGTTGAATTTTTCGCCGTTTGGTTGAATTACTGGAGTAAAATAAACCGGGTAAATTTTTCTCGGCATTGTAATAAATTTATAGATGAAATGTTGACGATAAAAGTAAGAAATCAAGCAAATGAGTAAAAAATCTACATTGTCGGTAAAAATCAACTTGACCTGGAAATGCTGTACTTTTCACACTACTGTAGTGGAGTTTTCACCCTAGTGATTTGGAAACAGTAGTGAGAAACATATTCCACAACTACTGCATAGCGCGAATATCACGTTCTTCAACGAGTATCACGCCACTCCATGTAAAACGGGTGAAACTCCAATGTACTATTCATTTTATTTGTGTGAAACTCCATCATTGACAATCGCTGTCCTCAGTACTTAGCCCTACTGCTAACGTATTATCTACTTGGATTTTCCGATACTTAAATACTCCGATTTCCGTCAACATTTATGTTCCTTTTCTCCCAGCGTAGTAATCGCCTATCAGTTAGCTCCTTGTATTAAGACGTACTGAGTGAGGGTAAAACGTTGTGTATCACGGCGACGAATAGAAAGTATGACATTTTTAGGTCGAATAAGTTCATCACCGACAAGTTTAATTTTTCACCTGTTTGGTTGATGTTTTTTTTACCTCTTTTGCTATCATTTTACCCCGGGTTTCGATAGAATGCTAAGGAGATTTTCTATTTGAGAGTTTAGGAGTTCAATCCAACTAAGGATGCACGCAATGATGAAGTGCATTAAGGAGTAAAAAGTTGCTGTTGGTGAAAAATTAATTTCACCTGAAAATGCTGCAGACGACTCATGTTATGTTTGCTGTTTTTTAGTGAAAGTGCTGGCTATCGCCCTACGTAATGGTGCAATACGTATTTACAACGGAAAGCATCTTGTGAGTTTAAAAGGCTATTCTTGTCCGCTTTCCTCAGCTAAATTCAAGAGTTCATACGAATTCGAGTAGAAATACGCAGAAAGCAAAGAAGATTCACTAAATTTCCCTACAATGTAGTTGACCATGTGCATATTTTCCGACACTGGTGTATGTACATGCATACGGTATTAGATCAGCAGTGTGGAAATATATGCACTTGGTAAAAAAATGCCAGGTGTTGGTGGATAAATTCTGATAAAATTTTGGAAAATTGTCGTTGGATTTCGTACACTTCTACCCAAAATTATGTGTGGATTTTCATAATGAAGTGAGGAAACTTACGAGCTCAGTTGAGGAAAGCAAACATATATTCCCACACTATAGGTGAGTACGATAGGCCTACAGGGGGGACATATGATCACTGGTATATGTCCGGGTTCTTATGCTCGAGAAGATGCCACTATGGCGATATCAACTAAAGCGGGCGCTGTTATTTTGAAAATTCTTCAGAGTGAGTTCACCCGTTCAACGTGAAGTGGAGTAATACTCCATGGAAATTATAAGGCGTATATATTTTCAAAACCGATAATACATTTTTTTCGCGAAGTGACTTGCGGAGCGAGCGGAACATATATTGTCACTTACATTTTCTACTAAGGAAAAATATTCTGTTATATTCTTCGAGTTACTTAGAAATTCGTATGACTAGGAGAGCTCATGATCTCGCTCGCTCTCATATATCAATAACGGTGCCGAGTATGACCGGTTCACCCTGCAATATTAAAATTCATCACTGAAGTTTCACCCGGTTCACGTGAAGTGTCGTAAAACTCGGTGAAAAACGCGAAATTCGCGCTATGCAGTAGTCGTGAAATATGTTTTTCATGCCACCGGGGTGAAACTCCACTGAATCTAAGCTTTACTGAAGTTTCGCTAACGTCCAAATCTTTTTTAATTAAACGATGAAGTTTCAGCAGTGATATGAAAAAAACACTAGTGAAAAACATATTCCACAATGAGGCCTTCGAGACGAATAAACGGGGTTCGGAGTATTTGTAACGGTCGTGGGTTCGGTCCCCGGCACGGTCTTTTTTCTAGCATTTTTCGCACCAGTTTTGATCAACACACGGCATAGGTTGGCGTAAATAGCAATTTCATGCTTTTTGCAAGACATATGAGCTATGATCTACCGAGCGATATGTGCCTTGAGAGCTCAACTGGTGTAGTCGTTGAGAGATAATTTAACGCACGCACGCACGGAAAATCCGGAATGGGACGTTTTCTCCCTTTGAAAAACGTTGTATCGAGTTCGTTATTTCATCATATCAGGGGACGCTAAGTTGAATGT